TCATCCACTCCAGTACAGTCTCCAGGCAGCGCTGAAGGGACAGAACAGCATCCACTGAGGTAGATGAAAAGGAGATGTAGAGCTGTGTGTCATCAGCATACTGGTGACACGATGCCCCACACCCCCTGATGACCCCACCCAATGGCCTCATGTAAATGTTAAACAGCATTGGATCGACCCCTGTGGGACCCCACAGTTGAGGCTCCATGGGGCCGAGACACTGTCTCCAAGCTGTACTCTCTAGGGCTGGTCCTCCAAGAAGGAACGGAGCCAAGCAAGTGCTAGGCCACCAATTCCTAACTCAGAGAGCCTCCCCAGGAGTATACCGTGGTTGACGGTATCAAAGGCCGCTGAGATATCAAGGAGGACCAACAGGGACATATTGCCCCCATCGGCTTCCCTCAGCAGGTCATCCATCAGTGCGACCAGTGCCGTTTCTGTACCACAGCACGGCCTGAAGTCCGACTGGAAAGGGTCCAGAGCGAATTCCTAGGCTTTGCCAAGGTCTGAACTAAAGAAAGTCTGCAGCGGCTTGATGCTGGCTTACCAGGGTCTAGAGCGCACCAATAGTGTGCCTTGATGTAACCACCAATCTTATATAGGATTTAGCCACTTAAATTAGTAACCAAAATCTTAATGTTGATTCATACTGGTGTAAGAATAATGGCATAAATCTTAGTGGTGAATTGTTGCTAATTAACAAGTTGCTGCTCATATTCCTACTCATGTGTCAGTTGCATGACATGGGAGACAGCTGGTAATGTGAGTGGCAGTTTATTTATTTATTTATGTATTCATTGATTGATTTGTATAATTTGTAGGGCCCCTAAGATATCTCATAGATATCTCAATAGTACTAAAAAAGCAGGAGTTTTCCATATTACCTAGTTGTCCAGATTTTACCTGGATTCTAGGCCTTTCATGCCAGATTCCCCTTGTGCCAATTTCCACAGTCTAGTCATCTTTCAATGCTAACACAAGGTTCTGCCATTGCCACCACCCTTGTTTCATGTTTTGGCCTTGAAATCTCAAGTGAATGAGATGCTTCTGATCTGACAATCCTGCTCACAGCCAGACTGCTTTTCTTGGAGTTGTAGTAAAACCAACCAACCACCGAGGTTTCTCACCTCTGATCAGAAGTAGAACATGCATAATCCAGATCCATAATTCCTTTCCCATCTTCTTCCTGTGTTTTGTCTCCCCCCTTCTTTTCCTTTGCAGATTGGACAATGGCTTCACGAATTGCTGCAGCCCCAGAATCATTATGGCCTATTTTTTTTCTGCTTCGTCTTTATCCATCTTATTTACACACTCAGGGAGCTGGCTTTTTATTTTATCACAAAATATCACTTGTTTTGCTTTGGCCTTTTGCTGTGTTTCTTTTTCAAGAAGATTCTCCTGGATTTCAGAGGTAGGAAAAACTGACTGTGAAATAACAACAGACTCCAGGCAGCTGAGAAAAGAGGACAAGCGGCTCCCTGATGTTTATGTATCTCCCTTCTGTCATCCCATCTTTGTTGTGCTTTGTATTTTCCCTCTTCTAACATGCCCAGCACACTTTTAAGAGCCTCACAGTTGCCTCTCCATTGAATGTTGTTTTCCTGGTTATTCAGTTCAAGACTCTTCCGATGCAGCTGTCTACCACCGCCCGCAGCGGTCACTAATATTAATAAATGTGCATGGAATTTTTAATAAATAGTCTTGCATGTGCACATTTACTCTTTAGAAGCATTGTACTATAGTCAGGAATGCACAACCTTGCCAGATTATTTATTGGTGGTGCGTGTGTTTCAAGGTGAACCGTTATTAAAAATGAAATTTAAAATATTTTCAGGGAAACACGGTATATATATTACATATATATACTTTTCTGTGGAAAAATAATGGCATTTGAAAATGTTCTGTTTTGGAAAATTTTCCATTAAAAATGTCCATTTCATTTTCTACAGAAAGTTTAAATGTCTTTTTTGAATAGAGAGAACATGCTCAGGGTACAAGCTTGATCTTTTACCTTCAGTAATATGTCGTATGCTAATGTTTTTATGTTTTTTTTAATTGTTTTGATATTCTGTAAGCTGCCCAGAGTGGTAAAATATACCAGATGGGCGGGATATAAATCGAACAAATAAATAAATAAAAAATAAATAAATAGTACTAAAAAATATACAGTTCATTGATATAATCAGAGATGGGGGGTTGTTTTTTGGGACTACAGCTTTCAGAATTTCTCAATCAGGATGTCCGATAAGCAGTTTAGTTCACAAAAGGTAACTTCCCTGAGTTCTGAATATAGAGGTTCAAATAATTTAGCCCTTCTCAAGCTGGTATCTTCCACATGCATTAGCCTAAAACTATGTTCAGGCATTATAGCCTATAGCTTGAATTGTGGTGATGTGGGCATGTGGGTGAGTCCCACATCACCACAATTCAAGCTATAGGTTATAATGCCTTAATGATTCCACCCTGTCAGAAGACACGGAAACTTCTGCATCTTTGTATGTCTGCACCAGCACTTATTAAGCATGTTCTGAAGGAACCTCCCATCAAACTAACTTGCTTGTGTGTCCCTTACTGACCAATTAGCAAACCCTTTCACTTCCCGGGCTAGAAGATACCCTCTTCCTGCTTTGCCTAATTACAATTCTTTGTGGGTTTTTTTTTTGTTTTATTTTGTTCTTTGTTTTCTTCTGGACATTTAATCCTGGGTAGATCTATTTTGTTTTGGAGTCCTGCCTGGAGGAGGGGGTTGGAATCAAAGGTCTTATAGGCCCCTTCCAACTCCACTATTCCATGATAATCTTATTTTAAACCCCCCTGTTATTGGTGAGAAGCAGAGACCAAGGAGAAATGCCTCCAGACCTAGACAGTCATGAAAAAAAATAAGTCAAAAAAGAAGCAGAGTCCCTTGACTATAATAGGAGTGATCATTACTGAACAGCATCTGCTTGCAAATGCATTCCTGGACATGAGCAGCATTGCACATCTCTCTCAGGAAACTCCACCCCTTGCAAAGACAGAGGCAGCTACATCATCATCAGCAAGTCTTTTAAGAAAGAGGGAAAGAGGGAAAGCACCGGGTTGACTAGTAGCCTTAAAGGGGGTGGATTTAAGCTGCATTGAAAAGCAGTGAAAATGAGAAGGTGATTGCTGGAGAGTTAATGATTGCTGCCTGTGGAGCATGTCACAAAGGTATTTTGCATGGCTCTTCTTTGAAGGAAAGCATAGAAATGAAAGGAGCAAGCTCCATACTTGCCACAGTTTCTTACTTAGCTGTCTTGTTAGCCTAAGGTCGGAAATAAGACCTGGTGTCGTTCACTGGTGAAAAGGGATTGCTAGAACGTTAATCTTTAGTTCAAATCTCATTTCTGCCTGCAAACTCAGTAGTGGATCTTAGAAGAGTAGCACACACCTGGTCTCAGGGAGAGCAGAGGGCTCTTCCACCTGTTAAAAGATAACACAAAAGAGGGTGTGTAGGTTAAGTTTGGAGGGTCCCTTGAGTGACTTTTGCTGAAAACCGCTTTTCTGTGCAACTTTTAAAGAGGCAGAAGTTCTGTCTTCTTTGCATTTGATCACCCTGTATACTGTCATGAAGGAACTGGGACGTATTTTGTCAGTCTACTTATTTGTGATACAGCAATAATAGTGGCTGAACTTTCAGAGGAGTTGTGAGGTTTGCTAAGACAGTCTACTTATTTGTGATACAGCAATAATAATAGTGGCTGAACTTTCAGAGTTGTTGTGAGGTTTGCTAAGATAGTGTACAGCAATAGCATGCAAATAGTGATTAATAATCATACTTTCGATGTACATCCTTTGTAATGAACTTAATAACTGTTGTATTTTCTCAACCTACCTATCCGTAGAATGGGAAGAATAATGGCAAATTACTTTACAGGTTGTGATTATTACTAATACAACATATATGTAACAATGATAGATAAATGCTAAGTATTTTTATTATTAACAATAGTGTTTGATTTGCATAGTTTGTAGTAGTTATGATCTATTGTGATTCTACAATAGTAATATGTATATAAACCTGATATTCCTGTAGTGCTAGTTATTAGCCTGGACTAACCTGTCTGGGTTAAATTGATCCATGGTACTTTGTTACTCTGCTCTTGGGGCATGAGAAGTTTCTGCCTCTCCTTTTTAGAGTCATGAGATCTATGCCTTTAATCCCCCACCATCTGCAAAAATCATGGAGGAAGTTTCACTAATTGTTTTTTTTTTTTGTTTTCTAAACACTTCTGAAAGGCAGAGAACCAAGGGTGTCTCATGCAAATGTTTGGGTGGGAGCAAGCCTGGCATAATGGTAAAGTTAACATATTTTGGCTGCATTGTGCATGCCAGAGTAACACAATGTATTGGTCTTTATCCATTAATATAATAAAGAAATTTAAGATGGAAGGGGATGCCCCCATAAGCAGTTATTCATACACAGGCCGCCTGTCCCAGAAGTATGATAATCCTACAAAGAAATTGTTGCTAGCCCCCCAAATTGTCCTAGTATGACCTCTTCTGGCAGTGGTGATTTATTGCACTGGTCTTGTGCAAACCTGCACTGATGTTGCATATGTAAATTACCTACTGATGTGTGTGTGTGGATGTTGGGCTTCCTTCTTCTGACCACTCTGCTTTCAAGGTCCTGTTGTTTTTTTTTCAATATGCACACAAACATTCACATTATTCCCTTTCCATAGTTTGCATCTTCTATTCAATCAGGAGAGGAAGAGGTAAACCAGAGAAGGGGGTAAGGAGTCACAAAGCTTTTCAATTGTACGGTTGATAACCTTTCACATGGAACTATAGCACTGTGGTCAGATGTGTATCTGTGCAGGTAGCCGGAGGGTTTCTGGCCATCACCATGATGGTTGGATGATTCCAGGAATTTTTTGACTTTTTAAAAATACAAAAATTGAAGCTGGCTGGATAGCTCAGTTTAGATACTGGCTGCAGAGCCAAAGATTGCGATATCAATTTTCCACTGTGCTTTTTGCAAGTAGAAACAGCCTGTGTGGCCTTGGGCAAGCTGTACAGTCCCAGGGCTCCCCTAGAAGAAGATAAATCAATTCTGAGTATTCTCTACCTGGAAAATCTTGAAAGGGTCACCAAAAGTCACAATTGACTTCATGGCACATCTTCATCATCGTTATTTCCAAGCTCTCTAATTTGCATCCTAAAATCTGTCGCTGGTGTGTTGGGCTTTGTTTTTTTTTTTAATGTGTCTCTGTTGCTTAATTTAAATAGGGTTCTGTCAGTGAATGGGGGGTTTCTGAGTTAAACATTGTCCTTTCTTATTTCAATTTATTTGACTAACATGTCAGCATTGGGAGGTGCATTTAAATGAGCATGCATTTGCCTCTATTCAATATTTCAGCCAGTTTCTATGCATGAGAAAGTTTGTTGACTGGTTCAAGATATGTGTGTAATGAAACTCTCCAAACTGACAAGGCAGTGTACTGGATCTCTTTTGTTTAACATCTAAACCACTGGTTCTTAACCTTGGGTTACTCAGGAGTTTTGGACTGCAACTCCCAGAAGCCTTCACCACCAACTGTGCTGGCTGGGGTTTCTGGGAGTTGCAGTTCAAAAACATCCGAGTAACAAAGGTTAAGAACCACTGATCTAAACTAATGATCAATCACTCCCTCAAATCAGCAAAAGTTTTATTTATGCTGAGGATCTTGTACTTCTTGCTCAGTCAGACAGCTTTCCATTGTTAGAATATATACTAATGGGCACAACAGAAACATGTGTAACATGCTATGATACACAGTCAATATGTGCCTTCCATCTGAGAAACAAGCAGGCATCGTAGAAACCTCAGGTGACCTGGAAGGGCATCCGGTTGGATCACTGCTGGTCCCCAGATACCTCAGTGTTAATTTGAATTATACACTGACCTATGAGAAATGCTGCCAAAATGTAAAGCAAAAGGAACAATAATATTTAAATGCCGTTGGGAACCTGTTGGGGCACACAACTACAAACACTAAGAACAACAGCCTTGCTCTGAGGCTACGTAACAGGTGAACGTGCCGGCCCCATGTAGTAGGTATAGTTCAGCTCATGAAAAACAAGTCAACATCAGTGCTCAGTGAAAAATGTAAAATCATTGCTGTATGCCTGATGCACCTTTATGTCTTTGAATGTGTGCACCTGTATCTCTCTCTCTCTCTCTCTCTCTCTCTGTGTGTGTGTGTGTGTGATAGAGACAGAGACAGAAAGAGAGAGAGAATTGTTGTGTTTATTTTTGAATAATTACTTTAGCCCTGCCTTTGCCTATTGACCCTGGTGCTGCCCACCATTGGCTGCTGTATCCTGCCCATGTTGGGCACCAGCCATCACTAATGCTAACGAACTACAACTAGTAAACTGTTCTTGTGCATTGCATCAATGTGACTCCTAGATTAAGTACAGCAGCAAACTATCAAAGGATGTTGCCTTTTCCATGTCTTCAAAGTACGTGACTTCGTTTCATCTCAACAATCTGAGGATTCTCCTTCCCTAGAAAACACTGTATCCCAGCTTCAGAAACTTTAAAGGTTTCTTTACTTAGGACCATGTCATTGTGATCTCTTAAATATTTAAATGTTGGTTCTCAAAGAACATAAAGGAATAAGTACATCCTTTTATTTAAAAAACCCTTAAAATTTAGAATCACCTGGAATTTGGCCATCTTAATTATCTCAA